ATATATATATATATATATATATATATATATATATATATATATATATAATAGAAAGTGCAGGAAAAAAGAAAAACAGGGGAAAGGGAGAAAAAGAATAAAGAAGTAACTGTCTTCTTCATCACAAGTTCAAGCAACTTTAGTAAAATATCACCATCTCTTGGCAACACAATAAATACACTCTTTTTTCCTTTACTGATCTTGTAACTTTCACCAAAATATTAAGGCCTTGTCATTCATTCTTTGTCATCAAAAGTCCATTAAAGGCTATCCAAAATAACTACAAAACTGTTGGGAAGCATCCAGCCTGGCAGGAAGAAGGGATGAGTGCAAAGCTAAATCTAGTCACTGTGCAACTGTAAAAGGTCCAGAATCAGTCCTCTTTGAATTCCTTGTCTCCTTCTCTAATTGTTCCCAAAGGAGAGATGCCAAACTGGGAATATTTCTGTTTTTTAGGCAGAATGTAATAAATAGTTAGCTTGAACTCTGTACATGCAGGTTGTTCGTGCCTGATAATAACTATTTTACCCTTGATCAAGTACGCTGACTGTATCCCTTTTCCTTGCTTTAAACAATCTCAGGTTTCATATCTTAAAATAATGTCCTTGAGCTTGATTTCTTTTGATCTTTCCTTTGTCTCATCATTTAACACTTAAAAGCTTTAACAGATCTCTTTTACAAAACTAGTAAAAAAGAATTATCCAAATTACTCTCCATAAAAGAATGTGTCTGTGTGTTCTTAAAAGAATTTTATTGTTGTTTAAATATTTTGTTCCATTTTGCATCAATGTGTCTGTGTGTTCTTCTTTAAGTAATCTTTAGTTTCTTCTGGTTTCCTCTAATGTCCAACATTCAAAGTTCCTTCTTATCATGTTACCATTCCAGCAAACTAAAACTGATCATAGAAAGGATCATTATATTTAATTATAAAGTTCAAAATAATCTGGACCCTAAATTTGCTTTTAACTTTCCAAAATAATCATTTTGAACTTTCTTTTGTTCTTTATTCTAAAACAGTATTATTTTTCTAAATCCTTAAACTTATATGTTAAATTTCTTTTGTAGAAGGATAAGAAGGAAACTCATCCACTAAATTCAATAATTCTTGTCATTTCAAAGGTTCTTAATATTTCAAAACAAGTAAAAAATACTTCCAAAGATAATTAGGAGATGAGGTTTGGTTGCACTTTTTGCCTATAAAAAAGTCTGTGTTATAACTGCCAGCTAAGATGGAAGTCCTATTTCCGGCTGTTCAACTAGGAGTCAATCATAAAAACTTCTGTCCTACAATCTACTCATAAGGAGTACCTGAACGGAGCACAAGGTATTATCTCACAGTTTCTTCTTGCTCCAGAGAACTTTGCCGGTCTGCATACTGCATCCAATTGTAATGTCCGCCGTGAATGACATTTAAAAAAGACACCAAGCTTGCCATAAATCCTCAGCAAGAGCTTCATATATTGTTCAGCCTTTTATTGTAAGTCTCTAACAAACTCTTCTTGATCAGGTTTTCTTTCAGCAGTGCAGCACTTCCATAAGTGCTAATTACAAGTTAGCATGCTCCACTCTATGATCTTAATTAATTGATTAGTAACCTCTCTCTCATCTTCTTATGCTGCTGGCTGAAATTGATAAGAACTTAATCAGTTGCACACTGAAGGCTTTTGCCTGGCAATTGCTTCTAGCATAGTTTCTGCAATTGAAAAACCATTCTTTCTGATGTTGGAAAAAGTAATTCCAAATACATATAGGCCTTTTTTCCTCCAGTTTTTCACTGACTTTTTTGTCACTCAATGTGTCTTCCTTTTCCTACCATTTACTGTCCTTTCCAAACATCCTGTCTTCCTTTGCCTGTTCAGATATCTGGTAATCCTTTCTTCATTGCTTCAATATTGCCTGAAGTTAGCATGTTCATACATTACAATGGCTCCTTAACTGACTTGGTTAAATATGTTCTTATAAATCAGTTGAAACACTTTAACTTTTGCTCTACGGTATTCCTAGCAATAATGTTAAAGCATTCTCCCCTTTAATGCACCCTAGTTGTTCATTTTAACTGCTTAGAAAAAGAGTATTCTTTGGAGTAAAAGATGGGATATAAATCAAACATACAAGAGGATATTTTCCCACAGATATTATTTTTTTAAAAATTTCCCATCAGAAGAAGGACCAGCACCTCCTTCATTATGTTTACCCACCTCTTACCTGAAATGGCCTGAACTGCTACCCGCAGGAATCCTTTAACTTCCCCCTTTTCGCTGACAATGGCAACACGATGGACCAAAGGTACAGGGTATAGCAAGTTGCTGAGATACACAAATGCTCTGGAAGGAAAAGTAACATAGGACAGCGGTCACTGCGTCCCACGTATGAACTTCTCCAAACATACTCCATAGCCGATGGTAGCTGGGACCACAGTTCACCGCTCACATCACAATATGGTGCTGCAAAGCAAAACTAAAGAAAAGCAGCCATGGCCAGCCGGACAGAGAGGGGGGTTCAGCGTGCTTAAAACAGAGCTCCTGTACTGAGCATGAAGCGAAAATGTAGTGAGTTAGTGAGCGCTAGCATAGCGTACCTCTGGTTCTGTCATCTCTTATGACCGAAGGGAAGGGAAAGGGATGGTGCTGATGCAAGAAGGAAAACTAGAACAAGGACCTGTGGCCGGAGAGACTAGGCAACTAGTACCCTGGGTGCTGTAATTTGTCCAAGGTCCTGCTGCTGAATAACAATGGGTTCAAGGGACAGAAAAGAGAGAAGGCAGATGGGATTAGACTGAAGGAACTAAAAGCAGAAAGAATTAGGGGGGTGGGGGAGTAAGGAGATTGGGAAGAAGAGGAAGTCCCTTCTAAAGAGGAACGCTTTTTTCAGAATTTTGAGAGGGACATAATGCATTCAATTTCAAGCCTGTTTCCAATGATTTCTTATGATTTCAAACCACAGAATTAATTACTCAACTAATGGGGGAAGAAGTATTTCTATAAAGCCAATTATATGTTCTAGCTACATTTGTGCAACTCATTGATGGGTAGAGAATGGAGGGATTCCTTGCAATATACCCAGGAGTATTAAATGAAGGTATCTATCATGGGAAGCTTAGATGACATTCCCACATGGAACTACGTAAGAACTTCTGCCTTCTTAAGCATGAGATCAACAATAACTAATTCTGCCTAAATCTATCTGATTTCGGTGTCACCTGTGAGTAACAGTAACATTATTTATCCCAGACTCCATATTCTTCTTGTAATTAGAATATGTTGGTGAGTTTACCTATTATTTATTTTTGGGGATATAGTTCCTTGATGACTTGCATGTGGAAACAGATATTAATGGATTCTATTTTAACTCTTTCCATTGGATAGATATTATATACTAAAATGAAAGAGCCACATAGGATATTTATATTACTATTATACTTCAGCAACCCATTATAGATTTGAAGCATTATCCCTTATGGAGCAAATAGACGTCAATAGAATTCTATCATAGCCACTCCTGTATCAAATTGCATAGTGTAGCAAATTAGTACAAGTTGCTTGGCAACAGATTACAACATGACAGTAAGCCAGAAAAGCTAGACTCCATAAAAATATGAAAATTTAGATGTGTATGTATTTCTGTGCCATCTATAAATATTGCTAAGGATGAGACATGAAAAAGGAATCAAATACACATACACATTGCAATCAGAATAGGGTTTTACACTAAAGTTATAGGATATTTCATGTATGAAAATGCCCTAAGACCTCTGCTTAAAATTAATTAGAATTATTTTGAAATAGAAAAACTATGCATTAGATCCAGATTGAGCTGTTCAGCTATTTTCAGTTGGTGTCATACCATCACACACAGAAACAAAAGCAAGCATTTGTCATATTGATGGATTGTTTATTTAATGCTTTCTGTCCCAGATTTTGTTTCCTTAACGTATTGAAATCCCCATGTTCAATTTTGTCACATTCTCAGTGCTGGTTATAGTTATGGAGATCAGGAAGTATAAATACACATAGTGGATAAATGAATAAAACTGGGAAATTAGGGTTCTATAATATAGTCAATAAGCCTTATATAGATGTAAGATATGGTGACTGTATCCTATCTGGGACAGGATTGGAGAAATGGGATCATTTACACCAACTGTATCAAGCTGAGTTCCTGTAATATTACTTTTCGTTATTTTAACTATATCCTTCCTAGAAATGAATAGGAAGCAGCTAACTGAAACCTGGTAGCCAGAACAGTATTAAAATGGGCAATAAATTCTATTGTATGAGATGAAACATTTCTTAACAAACATTATGTGAATCTTATTTGTGGTACATGACAGGCATTCTAGAATCATTATAAAATATCCCATAGAAATCTTGTTCTAACTGATGGTAAAACTATGCTTTAGCACTATTAGCTGTCTTGTTCTCCTGGCACAATTCTGAACTGAATGGTTAAGTTATTCATACATGGCTAATACATATCAAGCTACGTTTAACATATAAATTATTTTGCTCAACATGTTTTGATTGTTGTGAAAATACACACATGCTTTCACCTGAGGTGATGTTTTTCTCTAGATTTATAAAAACCTAATTTTACAAACTCAATACATGTCAATAAGACCTGAAATCATGATTTCCCCCTCCTATTACTCCAATCTTCAATGGACTCCTTACTATTCTGAAAAATTCCCATTCAAATGTTTAATTTTATATTAAAATTAAAACATTTAACCAACAAAAGCTGATGGTTGGAAGGATTATGACAAATAGCAGTGTCTGCTTCATGAGAAGAAAACATTATTATAAATCAAAAATAATTGTCAACAGATCCAGTCATTCTGCAGCATTAGCTCTCTCTTTATATTGGATCTATTCTGATATAGGATCATTTGACACTGGACAGGTCATCCATTGCAGCACCATTGTGAAGCAGGCCAGAAATCATGAAACCAATAATTAAGTATTTCGTAGGCTGAAATTGCTTCTTCCATACAATTGTTCAAAGGGAAGGAAATAAGGAGATGAAGAGGTGGAGGAGAGGAATCAGCAAGAAGAGGGAAAAAGGAAAGAAGACAAAGAAGAAGGTGGTGGAAGAGGATTGAATAAAGGAAGGCAGAAAAGAGAGGCTGTGTGTCATTAAAGGAACAGAGTCGCTAACCACAAGATTGGTGAGGTGCAAAGATGGCATGCTCAGACCAAAGAAAAGCCTTTCAAAAGAAGACAAAAGTGAAATAACCATCCCCCCCAATTTTGCTTAAGCTTTGGAGATAGAGCCAGCAGCTAAAAATAAATAAATAAGGAAAAATAAAGAAAAAAATCAAAGACAAAAATCCAATCAAAGCACACTTCACGAGAAATGTGAACGGCACAGCTGCTGCATGGGAGGAGTCAACTTTGACTGACTCAAAAGACCCCCAAGAACAGTTCATAGGATTGGGGGAAGAGGGTATTCCCTCATTGGACTATTTGGTCATTTGGCCTGTTTTGTTGATTTAAAATCTCAAATCCCCCAAGAGGAGAAAAAAAAAAAGGGAAGAAGCCAGCTCTTTCACTCTGAGACTGCAGGACTCTTCCCCCTTATCCCTCTCTGCCTTTTGTAAGCCCCTTTGTTCCCTCGCTTGCTCCCATTTTCCTAAATGCTACTCAACAAAGAGAAAACTAGAAGTCAGGATTTCCTGCCTGAACTAGGATGGCCGGGTGCAAGTCATCAGAACTCCCCAAGATTGCTGCAACTATAACAAGCCATGATGATATCCAAATAGGAGCATCATGACATCATCATGAAGATGATATAATTATCTAAATGATATAAGTGGAAAAGTCACATCCTTTGTTTGATGATGTCATGATGCATATGTTTGGGGGGCCCTAGCCTATAATAATAGTTACACAGAAAAAGGATTTTCGGTGACTGAAATTTTCTCTGCTTATAAGCTTACAATTACAAGCACAGCAGGTCTATACTTTTTCAGATTTAATCTGAATACCAAAGATAAAACCTTATATAGTAGTCCTCGACATGACCATAATTTAGCCCAAAATTTCTGTTGCTGAGCGAGACATTTGCCCCATTTTATGATCTTTCTTGCCACAGTTGTTAAGCAAATCACTGTGGTTGTTAAGTTAGTAATACGGTTGTAAAGTGAATCTGGTTTCCCCGTTGACTTTACTTGTCAGAAGGTTGCAAAATATGACACTGCAACCATCATAACTATAAATCATTTGCCAAGCACCCAAATTTTGATCAGGTGACCATGCAATAGTCATAAGTCACTTTTTTCAGTCACTGAACAATAAGTCGAGGACTATCTATACTAATCCCACATTCCCAATGAGTTCCCAATTATCAATTAAGTAATCCTTCTACACACTTATCCCAATAACCCTGTGAAGGGCTGTATTTAGCTGTTGTCTAATGAGACAAAAATAATTTGTTTGAGCTGTGCAAATTGATAAAGATATTGCAAAAACTTCAGCCAATATTTTGGCAGACAGTAAGACTTGGTTCATATATTGTATTACATCAGTTTATTTGTTTTTCATGGTTCTTGAATAAACCACGATGGTTTAAGGAAAGCTAAATAAAGCACATTATAGCATGACCCAATAAATTAATCCTGTTGAAGATTGATTTCTAGGATTATACTTCCTCGGTGGTTCAGATTATGCATTAGTTACTAAAATAAGACATTTTTTCTGTTTTTCCGAGCAAAGATGATGCCATGGGTCCACTGCTGGGATATAGAGAAATAAATGATACATGTATTATTACATCATCACACAAATGATATAACTTGTAAATCTGCATTAGCCATTATTACATAATTGTGACATTTGGGTTATGATGTTACAATCATGTGCCACCATTTTGTCATCATTGAGGCTTGTTATAGTTATACAGAATGGTATATTGGAAGATTTATAATAATCAAAGTCGGTGTTATTGTCCTAAAGTAACAAGGACAAAGTTTTTCAGTACATATATAAAAATAATAACTGACCCAGTTTGCTTTCTAAAAATAAGTGTTTCTGCTAACTGCAATGTGGCAGGAATTCTCCTTTAGCATTCTAAGTTTCTAAATCCAGATAGTCTTTAATCATGTTCTGCTCAGTAGCCCTTTATTTCAGAGTTACCTGTTAATATCTATCCCAAATCAATGGATAACTATATTAAATCTATGGTCCTAATTTTCTACCATGTGTAAATTAATATACATTTTAAAATACTATTGACCAACTTAATTAAGAAAAAACAAAGAATCTTCTTTTAGTGCTAGTTCTTAGGAAATTATGCTCAATTCTGAGACTGTGAGACTACAGCTGAGGGGTCTGTAGGATATAGCAATATAATGCACACAGACAGACTCCCTTTAGAAATGTACAATGCCAAAGTGTTGGTGTTGCCAGCAGGTTTTATCACATCCATTTACAGATGCTTTGACTTTTATCCTGTGGGTTATTTCCCCCTGTAGTTGGTCTTCCTTTCTACTACTCATCCCCTTGGGGAATGGGGGAAGGGTTTTTCCTCTGAAATGCTTTTTTGGGGGGACCCCAGCCCTTGTGTGCTTGACATGGGAAAGCAGGTCTCTTATGCGAAAGAGCTAGTTCCTTCCCAGCATGCTCTCCTAAGACCTCACCAACCTTCCTACTAAACTGAACAGGGGGGAGCGGTCGTAAAATGGATCCTGGCCATCATACAGCGGGTACTCCGGAAAGATGTCTTCCTCCAGGTCCTCCTCCTCCTCCTCCTTCCCCACGTGCTGCTCGTCAGCAGGCTCGGTGATGTCGGAGTCAGGGTTCGAGAAGGTGGGGGAGGGGGTGAGATCAGCCATGCGCTCGCTCATGCATGTGTTGAAAATAGGAGAGCTGTTGCAGCCAGAGATATCTGAACTAAGGTTAGTACAACAAGATAGGAGACAGGTTAACACCAGCTATTCTAACATACACACGCCTGTACACAGAGAGAGAGAGAGAGAAAGAGAGAAAGAGAAGGCTTGCTTTGCCCCTTCTTTAAAATCAAGCAGAAGAATTAATAAGGAAGGAGATTAAAAAAGAGACTTCCCAGGTCAAACACATCTAACAAAAGAGCCACAAATGCCATCAGCTGAAAATTGATGCATGGGATGAAAACTTTCCTGGTGTCCATTTCATCAAATTGAGATTTTTGGTAAGGGGAGGATGTCCATTATGAATCCTCCCAAATGACTGGATTGTTTCTTTAATACATTAATTTGATTTGTTAAAATTCTATAGCTAGACCCTTTCTACCTGGACTCCAGCCAACTCTCAACTGATGGTATGACATTTTTCTCTAATAGTTGCATGTGAAGCACATGAGAACACACAATATATACTAGGCAGTATATAGGCAGATATCACACTCCATACATCAAACACGCACACCTATACACAAAGGTACAAAATTCTATAAAAGAGTTTTTGAGCTACCCTTCACCCGACAATGTTTTTGCTTGGTTTTAGTTGCTACTGTTGTCATCTAAAAGCATTATGCACCAAGAAGATCTACATGGTAATAAGGTGATGAAATGGTTGTCATATTCCCATCACATCTAATTGTGATGGTTTTCATAATTCAGAAATTATAATCAACAAGCAGGAAGTTGTAAAGATGTGCTACAACGTAACTTGCATGAGCTAAACTGCACAGGATTGGCAAGTGAGGAGGGCATCATGCGGGATCACAGACAGTACAGACCATAATTATCTTGTTGCAGAAAATTTCAGCTCTCAGTACTCTGGACACCATGCATTTGGGCATTAGGCATGGTTTTGTGAAAAATGTATGCGGTGCAAGAATATGTGCAGATCATATTTAAAAGACTCTGCATCAAATGAATGGACAATACACTCCCAACACAAATGGAGATGCTGACCTGGTTTCCTATCAAGTGTGAGATGTGATCTTAACATCTTGATCTAAAATGTAATGCAATCGTTATTCCATAGTGGAAGGAGAGCTTGTGTTACATATCAGTTGCTTTGAGTAGCTATAGATTGTTTTTTCCCCCTTTGGAACTCATTGGTTTTGCTTTATATTTTTTGACAAAGAAGACCAAAACTCTCACCTGCCAACCAGCCTGAACCAAGGAAAGCGATCATAAAAGGGGTCTCCGCCTGTCACCACATTATCACAGTCTTCTATAACACTAGAGGGTACTTCAGCTGCCCGATCATACATCTCCCGCATCAAGTCCAACCTCTGCCTGCAATGTCAGAAAAAATGGATTTTCTATCAAAACAGTAGTTGAGAAAGTATTGCCCAACCAGTTTACCTGTGCATGCCACTATCTTACTTGATATAGTAAGAATTTGGTATAGAAACCTGTTCTGCTTATGGAGACATATTAAATTAGCATGCTCTTGAGTCAGATAAATAAAAACATTTTCAAGCAGTGGAAAGAAACTGGAAGGAACCTATTTCGCAGAATTGGACCTATACACATACATCAGCATGCTCAGAATTAATAGATATACATGGCTGTTCTGGTGCTTATGTTAACAAACCTTCCCTTGCATTGACAGAAGACTGAATTTACAAAAATGGCCATTTTATCAGTTAGGAGCAAGATATTAGATTGCTGTCAGATTTGATGTATATATTACTGTTCTTGTATACTATCTGAATTTTTTTTTAAAAAAGCTCCAAAGTTCTGAGGATCTCTGAATTTATAATAAGAGACTATATTTGCAGATTTGAAGATTGTAGCTATTGCAATCATAGCTATTCACAGATATATAACTTCTTTGGAATGCTTATTTGGCATGCATAGAAATCAGATTTCAACCCATGTGATGAACCTGTTAAGATCTGGATTGATCAACAGTTTATTCAATCTGTCTTTGGCATAAGAAGCCCTTGTGGCACAGTGGTTAGAATGCACTATTGCAGACTAACTCTGCCCATAGCCTGGAGTTCAATCCTGAGGGGTCTCAAAGTTGACTCAGCCGTCCAGCCTTCTGAGGTCAGTAAAACAAGGACCCATATTGGGAGTAATATATTGTAAAATGCCCAGACAGTGCTGTAAAGCACTATGGGGCTGCATATAAGTCTAATTGCGATTGCTGTAAATAAAAAGGAACATGTGAGATATCCATCACAGATAAAATTGCACCATGAATTAACATGGCCATCTTGCACCAAAGATTGGATAATTCTGTAGACTTACATATTATATAATACAATTCTGTTTATCTTATTCAGCCCTCTTAACCCAAATCACAGTCCACTGAAGGGATTGGTTTTTTTCACAGGCAGTCACATTATTTAACATGGCAATTTAACTCACGTTCCTTTCACTTTAAAACTCAGCAGGACAGTCACGCTTTATAACAATTTGTCCTGTGTCCGGGGGCGTTTTAAAAAAGTCACAATTTTCTGGCTTCATGTTGAAAGCCCAGTGGATTTGCTTAAGAAATCATAACCGGGGCAAGACAAAAGACACTCTGTCTAACTAACCTCCCTCTCTGTCTCAGTACTTTCATTGAAGATATTAAAACATTAAAGCAACAAAACGGAACACCCCCCGCCCCTTTTACCTTATTTTATAAGAAAAAAATGACCAAGTACCATAGAGCTCCAGGAAATGCTTGGCTAGAGAAGCCGCGAGTGTTACTTCCTGGATTTTCCGGAGGGGAGGGGCATGGAGGTTGGAGGTTGGCTCGTGTGGAAAAAATGGTGGCAAAGTTTCTTTGAAAAATATTTCTCTGACTAATTTCACCTTTTTAATTTGCTCAGTTCTTTGTATTAACATCTATATCATTCTGGATTGACTTGGAGTGCTCACTTGTGCCTGCTGGTAAGTGAACTGGGTTTTTTTCTTTTATTTTTTAATGTATTTTAAAATAATATTTTATTTATTGTGCATAGGATTTTTTTAAAGTTTTATTCTGTGTGGATTCTTTTTTTAAATTGTCTTAGACTATTTAAAAAAAGATTCTATCCAAAATAAATTGAAGTGAAACCATTTTTAAAAATTCTATGCACAATACTTTGAAATGTTTAACTTCAATTTATTCTGTATGGCTTATTTTTTAAATTGTCTTAGACTATTTAAAAAAAGATTCTATCGAAAATACAAAATACCAGCTGCAGTTATTCACTTAAGAACTGTGGCAAGAAAGGTGGTATAGTGACCAAAGTAACAATGGCATTGAAAAAAGTGACTGATGACCATTTTTCACATTTAGCAACCATTTTCACACTTAGCAACCATTGCAGCATCCTCATGGTCACGCGATCAAAAATTTGATGTTTGGCAACAGATTCGTATTTATGATGGTTTCAGTGTCCTGGGGTCATTTTAATTGCTTTTTGACAAAGTCAAATGGGGAAACCAGTTTCACTTATGTTACTAACTTATCAGTTGCAGTTATTCACTTAAGAACTGTGGCAAGAAAGGTGGTTTAGTGACCAAAGTTACAATGGCATTGAAAAAAGTGACTGATGACCATTTTTCACACTTAGCAACCATTTTCACACTTAATGACCGTTGCAGCATCCTCATGGTCACGTGATCAAAATGTTGATGTTTGGCAAGAGTTACAATTTATATTTGTAAATTGTAGTTATGTTGAAATAAAAAAAAATACAATACTATTTTTGCATTATATGAAAATTTTTGTTGCTCCATATAAAATTTTTAATCAAGCCCCCCCCCCCCCCGGTCAAAGGTGTCCCTCTTTACCAATCTGAAAATCTGGTCACCTTAATTATGCTTCCAGATAGGAATATCATGCCATTTTCCCCCACATGATTAAAAATTACCTCCTTTAGCCAGCTAGTAGCCACTTTGGCTTTAAAAGTTTACACCTACCTGAGTTTCTCCAGAGTCCAATAATGGGTTGCTCCATTTTTCTGATCCTGCACCTCTACTGCCACAATGGTCCTTGGGAAAGGGCGTTTCTCCCGGTCTTTGGCAGCATCTGGAGGGAGCAGGTCTGGAGGCAGAGGTGAGTATAGGGTGTCTGTAAGGAGTACGAACTGAAACTGAACCTGGAAGTGAATTATAAATGTTGCTGGTTAGTATATTATCACAAAGTCACTAAGGCAACCACATATGTTTAAATTCTGTATTTTATAGAAAAGATGGCACTTAAATTTAGGAAAAGGTTTTGGGGGGCCTTTCCCATTATTGAAGACTTACCACCTGATGCTATTAGATAATGGGATGGGAAGAATCCATCCCTTGGACCAGATTTGTTTTCCAAACTATTTTGTAACACCCACTTAAGAAGAAGGAAGCAGGGAAGGAAGGACATATTTGTTTTCTAAGACAAGAACTGTTTACCTTCTTCTTCAGTTCCACACTGATTGCATTGGCCTCCTTCAAGAAAATGGCATTGCCCCACAGCTGGTCTCGAAGAGATGTAAACTGATACCATTTCCACTTCCTAAAGGCCCAGAGTGCCAACTCAAACTCTCGCTCTGTCCACTGAACTGATGAGATAAACAAAGCGAAATACCTCTGTAAGGTCAACTACTTATTTTCAAGTATTGCCTAATCAAATATGCCTAAATTGCCTGATTTCGCTCATGAGATAATATGAAATGCATATATACTTCATGGGTCAATTTCACAAGGTGATAGATGTGGGGAGCCCTTCACTTGTAAAAGTATGCGGAATCAGAAGAAAGTTTGTCACAAGACACCTCTGCACAAAATGAACAAAAGCAGGGTAGGACAATGATAGTTAGCTTCAATTTTAAATATAAATTTTCCATCCAATAAAATTCCCAGCATGATCACCAACGTCCGATGATAGATATGGCACAAGAAGAAGTAGAAGATCCAATAAAACCCCACTATATCTAACTATAATCAGAGCTGAAAAGACAGCTAAACAACTTATGTAATTTGAACCCAAAATTTGCTAAAATTGTAAGAATATAATTGTAGTAATGTAAATGATGATTCTTGATTTGCAAAGCTACATAGAAAAAATTATCCCACTTCAATCCATGATTCAGGTTAACAAATAAATCCAGGGATAACTCACTAATAAAGCAGAAGCTAGACATTTCTTCTCTGTTGCTTCTCTGAACAGTACCCAGGACTATCTGTTCATTTACTGGGACATTTGTAGTTGAATACAATATTGTAGATTCCTTGGTGCTCTCCGAGCTTGGTTATTTGGTTGCAGACAAGTAGGGTAACATCATCAGTGCTAGTCAATGTGGGGGTTTGTTCTCATATACACATATAGTTATTTCTCTGCCACTATTGGTGGAGGTGTTGTTTTTCTCCTTGGTAGTTCTTAATTAGACTATTGTTTAATGCTTGATTTTTCCTCCTGTGTTATTCCCTGCTTATCTGTTGGTTGTTGGAGGGAATATATCCTGGTCTTTTTGTTCCCTTCTTAGCTTTTTGTGGTCAACACTGATGATGTTACCTAGCTGGGTAATGAAAAGTCTGCAAGGAAACAATCCAGCTCAAAGAATACCAAAGACTGCACAGTTCAATCCTGAGCTACATGTTTTCTCTGGTTGCTTTTCATAAGACAATACAATATTGTTTTATGAAAAGCAAACTACAACAGTTTATTTATTTCCTAGAAGCTCACCTTCATCCTCAGGCTCCTCCTCTTCCTCATTAGTTTCAGTGTAGTATCTTGAGTCCATTTGCTTTTGTAAAGCCTCTAATTTACTCTCATAATCCTAAAATAACAAGAAGAAAACAGCCAAGAGTTTATTGTATTCTGACATTTCCAGTGAGATATGGCATCCCTGAAGAAGCAGGGATGAAATTACGGTGGAGATCAATGGCCAAAGTGTGGAGCCTGGCCAGCAAAATCTCTCTGGAGAATGGAGAGATCATGAGATCACTCACACACATTTTGAACACCTGCTACTCCCAATTAGAGGGTGGTTTTTTGTTTTTTTTTTGCAATCAGCTAGGGAGATGAGCAGCTGGGAACTGAAGGGTTCCAACTAAACTCATTGTTTGATAAATGTAACTGGTGAAACCAAGTTTATCAGAAATATCATGTTGACATATTCTAGACATTATTCCTTTTGCAAATGAGCTAGGAAAGAATAGACAAATAGGTCTACTTCTAGTCCATGCTAGGCTCACATATTTCATCATAAAGTCATTTATGAAATTTCTGCAATTTGAAAAAATGCACAAACATTTGAATGTACATTTCTTTGCATGTGCCATTATAAACATGGTTTTGAACTGTATTTTGAATACAATTGTTACAATGAGACATACATTCTAAAATTCAGGAAACTGCATAATCAAAGGAATCCTTACAAGTCTTTGTTGTTCCAGAAGATAATTAGCCTCTTCTCTTTCCTTTCGGTATTGATCTTCTAGTTCCTGAAGCCTAAAAACAGGAATGAAAAATTGACAGTACGGGATCAACAATCAGAGACAACGTCCACTTTCCATAGCCCTTTCATTTTTGCCACACCAAAATGTCATTTGGACACATATAAAAGAAGAAGGGGATGATAGAGAATGAGGTGGCTGGATGGAGTCACTGAAGCAGTAGGCATAAGCTTAAATGGACTCCAGAGGATGGTAGAGAATAGGAAGGCCTGAAGGAGCGTTGTCCATGGGGTCGCAATGGGTAGGACACAACTTTGCAACTAACTAATAGGCAAAACATAAATTAAAATGACAGATTTCCTGATGGGCAGAGCCTGTCTGGAAGTCTCAGAAAGAGATCATTCCCATTCCCTTTGGCCCTGCTTCTTGGATGTCTATATGCAAAGTGTTTGACCCACCATTTACCCAGGATCTCTCAGTTCTTGTTCATGAGTTGTTTTATACTTTTATTCTTACTCACCTCTGTTCCATTTCCTGCTTCATATCAATGCCTTGTTTCTCTAGCAATTCCCTCTGGGCAAAAGCCCAATCTACTGGTTCAGCAGGAGTTTCTGCACAAGGCGTTCGTTCCCTCTCTTGCCGTGCCTGCTCTGGATGGTTAAATCGAAATACATGGCTTTTCCCCATGATGATGCGATTTCCTATAGAAAGGGGAGGGGACATATTTAACAGGCATGTACATGGGGTTGTATTTCAAAATCTATCCAATCCAATACTAAGATGATACAATAACTCTGTTGCAGACCTCACATCTCACATGCATATAAGATGCAAGCTATGCAATTTGACTGCAGTTCATGGTCAAACACCAGTATATTTAGGATAATGCAATTTTTCCTTCCAACAATCATTCTTATGAATCTGCCATGGTCTGGCAAGCAGTCAATCTGTTCCAAGGCATCTGTTAAAGCACTTGGCCTTTATGCTAAGTATCTACTGCTTAATGTGTTCTCTTAGAATGCGAAACTACCTGATCTTAAGATGCTGGGTTCTGTTACTTTCTTTCCATTGACATAAGTATCTGCACCCTCACAAGGTTCCAGGGTCACAATAGCTGTAAAAATACAAATGGAATTTAGAAAGTTAAAACTATTGAAGATGTTTTATGAAATATTTACATAATTATCCTCCAATGTGCAGTTAAGAGCAATCTCCAACTCTAAAAAATATGAGGAAATGAAGGATAGTTATAGTAACTTAACCCTGTTGTTATACATCACATAGATCGAGTTGATACTCCTCACAATTAACACACACAGATACCCTTCAACTTCAAAAAGTAATATTGAGTCTTACTAAATATCTATAGTACATACCTCCCTGGGCTGTGCATAAAACTGCTTCTGAATTTTTGAAAATTGGTTTCTTCCCTTAGTATAATTTCAAATATTTTATTCAAAACCGTGAGTTATTCATTCTTTGGTGGGTTTTAAACATTCTGCTAAAATATTTAGATTACCATGACACGTAAGTCCTATAATTGTACTTAGTAAATTATGGTTATAACAGCACTAAGTATCTATATGGTGATCATGGCTTGCTCATGCACACCCCACTAGGAACAAGGAAGAACATATGCAAATGTTGAGTTTTTTCCATATAAGGATACCTTCACAGCCAGATTTAGTGTCACTTCGGAATATGCAGTGCTCTTCTTTGATGAAGTGGCCACTAAGTACAATGTCCTGTCTTCTCTCACCATCTTCTCGACCAACCCTGTTGAAGATAAATCTCAATTATTCAGGGATCAGGGATCCAAAACTTTAAGGCATTATCAACAGTTCATTCATTGCAAGAGATCTGTTATGTACTCCTAATAATCTAGTAGTAAGGTTCAGGGAACACTACTGTAAACAATTGTATAATGTATTAGTTCTTATTTTACTATATCTGTTTGCTTGTAGCCAAATTAAAAGCAATGATTATGACATGGGAACTTGGTTACCTGGTGATTCCATCTTTAATGTAATAGAGAAGGCACTCAGACATCAGTGGGTCTTCATTTAGATTGACCAGATGTGGTGTCTACAAAAACAATGGAGAAGAGCAAACTTAACCCTGCATCTCTGGCCATGGAGAAATGTAATCATATTTTCCTATCACATCCCCTTCATTGAGAACAACCTGGGTCATAGTATCAATCCCTTGGCTGTTATAAAAATGAACCATCCCTTATTTTGTCATGGCAAGCTGCATGCTTTATTAAAAATAAAATATGCAACTTATATTGAATTCCAATGCTAATCAAACACACCGAGTGCAATAGGAAACATTCAACCTCCTTCTTTCCACAGTCACACTTGCTTCCCTGAAAACTTCCCTCCATATTTTTTCTTTCCTTTAAAAGATCCATATAAAGATCTCAAGAATTGTATGTTTAGGATTAGATTTAACTCTGCCCCTCAGCATGATCCCCTATGAATAGGATTTCACAGTTACTTTTTTTTAAAGGACAAAAATTATATCACAGAGCTTGCCCCTCAACTGCTTAGAGTAGTTGACAGCAAGAAGGATAATCGAAATTTTTATTGGCTCAAGGCTGCACAAGTTTGGGCTGGCATGCTAAGTGTCACACTCCAAAAATGGGTGCAGCTACTTTATTTTTCCTTATTTTAATACTTTATTTTATATTTTTGAGGAGTATCAAAGTTAAGCAGTTGGCATATTTCAAAATGCTTATGATCAATATCTGGGGAAAAAAAGTATCCAACCTTTTTAGGAGAAAATACCCCCAAGGTACCACCATCTTCTCTCATAGCTACTCCCATTTCTGCCAGCAAAGCTTCTCTGAAAAAGGAAGGAAGAAAGGAAGGAAGGAAGGAAGGAAGGAAGGAAGGAAGGAAGGAAGGAAGGAAGGAAGGAAGGA